ATTCATTTTCATCTGGAAAAGCATTTGAATACTAAGAAAATTGTAGTAAAGCAAAGGTTATGCACAGAGAATGACTGATTATGAATCTTTACACTTAAATAAACATGGGAAAAGCCTAGATCAGGGGTAGGCAACCTTGGCTCTTTTATGACTCGTGGACTTCAACTCCCAGAATTCCTGAGCCAGCCATGCTGAGGGGAAAGGGAGAGGTTTCCAAGCTGAGCCATGCTGGCTCAGGAATTCTGGGAGTTGAAGTCCACGAGTCATAAAAGAGCCAAGGTTGCCTACCCCTGGCCTAGATCGATCGATCTATCTATCTATCTATCTATCTATCTATCTATCTATCTATCTATCTATCTATCTATCTATCTATCTATCTATCTATCTATCTATCTATCTATCTATCTATCTATCTACCTACCTACCTACCTACCTACCTACCTACCTACCTACCTACCTACCTACCCACCCACCCACCCATCCATCCATCCATCCATTACTTCAGTGTATAAGCCAGTCCATTTCAAGAGAATCCATGTAATTTATGCTAAGTGTTTAATAAGACACTAATCTTTAATAAGATGAAAAACAAATCAATCAATACAAATATAACCAGCCCGTTGATGTATTAACCATGAGAAGATAGCATGATAATATACTGTATGTATTCAATTGCCTTCTTTAAGATCCATGTTTTTATGGCTCTCCTGCAATGTAGTAAGAACTGGAGAGGCATCATCAAGCAGGCTCAACCCGAGAATCCCTGGAGATGACATTCCTTCAATAATGGGCTCTTAAGAAGCTCTCTTTCCCAGTTTTTACTGGGTTGGCATATTCAACTCAAGGAAGGAAGTCTGTTGAAGCCCTGAGCCATACAGGGCTTTAAAGGTCATAATTGGCCCATTGAATTGCATTTAGAAGCTAACTGCAGCTCCCATAGTAGCAATGTTACAGGGTAAACCTCAGTATATGCTTAATGGGATTGGCCACTCTGCGCTGCACCAACTGATGTTTCTGAATAGTCTTCAAGAGAGTTCCATGTAGATCACAGCCATAAGGTGGCAAGGGCATAAAAGAGAATAAAACCTCTTGATTCAGGAAATACCACAACTGACATACAAAATATAACTGTGCAAAGGCCTGTGCCTGCTGTTCAAGCAGAAGCTATAAGTTAAAGCAGACACCTCCCACCCCAGGTTATGGGTCAGCTCTGCCTGGGGGAGTACTACCCTCCAGTCAGCTTGTAAATCCTTTGAGCTTTGTCTCAACCACATTCATTCACTCTATCTTGATAATATTCAGTGGCCCAGCAGACAATCTTCTGGCTTAATTTTTCTGACAGGGACTAAGTCTCTTTAATGCTGTTCAGTTATTCATAAATGCAATAAGAATGGAGAAGAAAGCTTGTTTTACTGGTCTTACTGCCACAGTAAATGCTAGAATGATCTCTTATCCATGTTCAGTTAAATTCATTATTCCTCTTACACCAGTGTGCTCTACGCATCTCTTCTGTTGTTTTTTTAGGCATCTCGCTATGTCAGATGAAGGTGGTAAATCCATCCTTGTGCTCCTTGATCTTTCACTGGATTTTAATATTTCACAACTACAGTATCCTCTGGGGACTGGAAGTGGGGAACACTCTCTTATAATGGGCTGCTTCTTTTCTCTGGGGCTGATTTCAGTCAGTGTTGGTTGAATGAGGAGATATCTTTTCCTAGGCCCTTCCTCTGTGGGGCCATTATGTGCCATCAAGTTGCTGTTTTCTCCTAATGACCATGTAGATCAGTGGTTCTCAACCTGTGGGTCGGGACCCCATTTGGGGTCGATCGACCATTTCATGGGGGTCGCCAAGCAAGGATGTCCGCCATTTTTTTTGTCCGCCATTTTTTCCCCCTTTTCCGGCAGGTGCCTTACCTCCCTTGGGCTGGGCCAGCTGGTGGTCGGCCTGCTCCATCTCTGCCGCTTGCCAGCTACGCCTCGGCCGGCACAGGGGGCGGAACCACGCATGCGCGGCGCTCCCGGGCAGGGAAAGTCCTCGACTTACGACCGGTTGGGTAGTCCTTGACTTACGACCGGTTTAGTCCTCGACTTACGACCGGTTGGGGTCGCGGCATTAAAAAGGTTGAGAACCACTGATGTAGATATTAGGGTGACAGAGGATTTTACGCGCTCTCCCTCCTTGTTCAATATCTACAGTATATGGGATTTCTGGGTGAGGTCATCTACTGTTTTGGGATTCGATCTCATCACTGCAGGTAGTCCTCGAGGTATGACAGGCCTTTTATGACTATTTGAAGCTAGGAATGCACCTTAAATAGGGGTTCAAAATTGCAACAAACAAGAGGCCTCTGCAGTCATGTGACCTGGATTCAGTCACTTCTGAAGCAGCAGCCATATTTAATCCTGTCACTGCCCTTTGGGACCCAGAAGTCACCTGTGGTTACGACAGGCAGTTTCCAAGGTCCATGTGGTCGTGTGCATTTTTTTTTTCTCCCATCAGGGACTTTGCAGCTGGCATCCTTTTATTTTTCTCCTCATTGCTGCCGTGTGGAAGAGCAGAGGAGTAAATCTCTTGTGGCTGCTCTTGTTGCTTATTTCGTTGCTGTTGCCCTGAGGACTGGAAGACTGTAAATGCTTTAAAATTTTCTTTTTCATTATAGTACTGAGCTTGTTTGTAAATACTTTACAAACTACTGTGCTTGCTTGTAAGTACTTTACTAAAGCTGAAAACTTTTTTATTACTGTATTTGGGTTTGCTTTGGAATTGCTTGGAGAAATACTAGCCAGCATCTGCAGAAAGCAGGTTCAATACTGTAAAGTTCCTTTGCATTCTGATGCATTGAGATTGCTTGCAAAAAGTTCCTTTGCTGGATCCAATCTGGGTCATTTACCGGGACCAGAAGTTTAGTCATCTGACCTTTTTCAGACTCTGTGTTGGAGCCCATCCTCAAGGAACTTCTCTCTCACCAGAATGTTCCTTTGCATTCTACTTTACTGTGTTTGTTTGTGTTAGCTTTGAGGATTAGTGTGTACAACTATAGACTGCTTGTAGAACAGCTGGTCGGTGGGTAGTAGTGGTTCCCTCCAGAAGCGCCACACTGGGGAGCCTTGCAAATCCCCCCCCCCAAATTTAAGTCCAGGAACCTGTGTGGAGGCACTGCGGTTTGGAGGGTCCCCTCGCCTTGCCAGAACAGCTGATGGCTGTTTTGCAGGGCTTCCCCTGGAGAGGGGAAGCCCTGCAAAATCTCTAGCCTCTTGATTCCTTTAATGATGGCAGAGGTCATTTAATGAACTGAAGCAATCAGCAAGCCTGATCTTCATTCAGCTAATGGCACGGTTGATTTGCTTAATGAACATGGTTGTAACAATGAGTCCTATTCATTTTATGACAGTTTTGACTTACAACCCTAGTGAGCAGGGTCCATAAGGTTCGTACCTCAAGGACCACCTTATGCTGTCAGGGTTTGGACCACCAAGGTCTGAGAATGTACCATCTTTAAGCGTGCATGGGGTAGCACTTCCACATTCAAGAGTGATACACAATCAGGAAGTCTTCCTGGACTCGCAGCTCCTGCTTGATGAGCAGAGAGCAGCTGTGGGTAGGAAGGCCTTTGCTTGAATATATCTAGTGCACGAGTTACACCTCTTTATTTATTTTATTTATTTAATTTTTATCCCGCCCTTCTCCTTACGGACTCAGGGCGGCTGACAGCCTTATAAAACAGATACAACAATAAAAATACCCCTGGATCAGGTGGCCCTTCCGTCAGTCACTCACTCTGATCACCTCGCTGCTTGACTATTGCAAGGCACTCTAGTTTGCCCATGTAACACTTCTGTTCCACAAAATGCAATAATTGCCCATTTGCTTTCTAGTGCAATTCAAGGTACTGGTTGTTATGTATAAGGCCTACATGGCATAGAGCAGTGATGGTGAACCTTTTAGAGACTGAGTGCCCAAACTGCAACCCAAAACCCAGTTATAGATCGTCAGGTGCTGGGTGGGTGTGGCCCATTGGGTGGGCGTGGCTGCAGTGGTAACAGCAGAGTGGGTGGGACTAAAAAGTTCAATCAATCAATTCCAACTTTGCGAGATCTTTTTGTTTTCCCGCGAGAAGTTCAAATTGATTGACTGAACCTTTTTTTGGGGGGGACACGGCGAAGCCTAAAGCGAAAAGGTTTTATAAAACCCAGCTGAAGGCCTAGGACTGGGGCGACGCCACGCGTGCCCACAGAGAGGGCTCTGCGTGCCACCTGTGGCACGCGTGCCGTATGTTCGCCACCACGGGCATAGAGCCTGGTTACTTGAGGCACTGCCTATCCCCGACAAGGTGCTTTGTAGGATTGGCAAACTTCATTTTCCTCAGTTAAACTATGTCATCTGTCAGGACTCTGGAAGAGGGCCTCTTCTTTGATAGCGCCTGGCTTTTAGAATGAGGTCCTCCCAACATCTAGATGGGCATTTTGGGTGGCCTTGAAGACCTGACTCTTTGCTGAGGCCTTTGGCTAAAAAAAGGGGGGGGTCCCCTTTTGTGGAATGGATGTCTTTGTTTCTGCTCATTTTGTCATTTTTGCTTCTTTTTTAATTGTGGTCTTGTTTTTATTGTTTAATGATTTTCATATTTTCTTGTGAGCTGCCCAGAATTGTTGGGAGCTGGATGGTATACAAATTGAGTCGAATAAATAAATAATAAAGTTGAGGTTTGATTAACACATTGAAATCTGTCTTACAATATACACACCACAGTAAAGCCATCATTTGACCTCATTAATCTTCCAGCTAACAAACCATAGCATGATAAATGTACAAATTACTCTGAGGGAAAACCTTATTAATTAAATTCATCACAGTCTACCAGCTCAAGCAAGAAATCGGCATCCAATCTACCTCTTAGTAAAGTTCAACACAGAGTTAAATGAATTCCAATACTGTTTGTAATATGTTGATATTTGAACCATGCGCGCAACTACAGAAGTTTCAAGGCAAAGCTGTGACTCACCTTAAATATCTCAGGCTCCTCAATATCCAGAACTTCTGTATTATTAAGCTGGGTGTTCCAACTGGAATATCGCCTGTTATTTGTAGCACTTGGTGTAAAAAGCCAAATTACACAGGTAGCAATAATAAATCCAATAGCAATTCCCAAGAAAAGTCCACTGAAGTAACTAGGGAGAGGAAGTATAAGGTAAGTATAGATCAACATGGTGAGAAAGTACAGTGTCTTCATCGGAAGCCGAACTTGTGGTGCGGGTAGTTCAATTCCACCTTCACTACTAATTAGAGGAGAAATTTCTTCTTGTACTTCTTCTACCTTCTGCAAACTTTCCACTGGTTTGTCTTGTCTGTCATCCTCTATTAAACAGAAGTCCTCAGAATACAACTCGCAGAACTCTTCATCTTCCTTACTTGCCAGGGCGGACAGGCAACAGCGTTCAAGTACCAGAGAAGTCTTAGAACTAGAATCCTTTGTGCTTAAGAACAGGGAGCTTCTAGATTCCATTTCTTTTTCGTGTCCTTCAGTGGCTTGGGTTTTGGTACTCTTATTTACACTGGAATTACTTCCATAGAAGTCTCCTTCCGAATCACATTCTTCTTCCTTTATACTATAGTTATTATTGCTTTCCAAATGGCCATTCAAGCTGGAGAGATTGGACAGTTCTGAAGCACTTGAAGATAAAGCTTTGGGCCGGTGGCTGCTGCTCTCATCACTCATTATTTTGCTGAAGAGCTGAAAAGGCTCATAAATCACCTCTGAAAATCGCCTCTTCGTGTTCTCAATTTTGGCTTCCATTTCGGGTACTTTAAAAAAGGAGCGAGTGTCTGGCGATGTCAAGGGAGACGAGGGCGCTGTTTTGGAATCGCTACCTGTGCTTTGAGGCTGGGTGAACTGTTTGAAGAGGTGCAAGTTCAATTTAGAGTCGGGTGGTTTGAACGACACCGTTTCCGGCTCCTGCTTAGAAGTGTCTGTGGACAGAGACTTCACCAGAGTTTTCATCAACTGTCTATGTCTCGTGGATAGAGAGGGCTCTTTTGGTTCAATGTCCGTGGAAAGGGATTTGACTAAACTCATGAAAGGCTTTGAGCTAGTAACAGTGGTTGGCGTGCTAGACAAGACATGTGACTTGGAAGGGGAGGACAACGGAGAAGATGAAAGGCTGGTTCTCAGTTCCGAAGGCAATGCCACACCAAGTGGGCTAGGGGCTTGGCCCAATTCTGAGGAGGGAGATGCAGCCAATGGCACCACACTAAACCCTTGGGACTCCAAGGGTTTCACAGTTGGCAGAACTGTGGGAGATGTAGCCACAAAAAGCGAGGTAGTGGGAACAAAAGAATTCTGCTCACCATGATCAAAGCATAGGTCTTCCTTAGCTTCAAGTGCAGTTACAATGCTTTGGTCATCTAGTGTCTCAGAAGGAGACTCCGTACACTTTTCTTCTTCCTTCTCCTCCTCCTCCTCCTTCCCAAATGCCGAGAAATGAATGGTGATGGTTTCTCGGGAAGCGGATCGCTGAACCTGCACTTTTGGCACTGGCTGCTTTGAGGACATTTCACTGGTTTTCTCTGCATGGCTAATGTTCAGACTTGTCATTGCAGGTCCCAGAGATACAGGGTCTATAAAGAGGAAGCAAAACATAAATTAGACTGAAACTTTTTAACGTTGCACAAGATAATACTTGTACAGATAGTCTTCGATTTACAATCACAATGGAGCTAAAATTTCTGTTGACATTTGCGAAGCGAATTTTGCACCATTTTATCACCTTTCTGGCCACAGTTGTTAAGTGAATCACTGCAGTTGTTAAGTTAGTCACAGGACTGTTAAATGAATCTGGCTTCCCCACTGACTTTGTTTGTCAGAAAGTTGCAAAAGGGGATCACATGACCCCGGGACACTGCAACCGTCACAAATACATGCCAGTTGCCAAGCATCTGAATTTTGATCACATGACCATGGGGATGCTGCAACAGTTGTGAGAAAAACTGTTTTTCAGTGCCATTGTAACTTTGAACAGTCACTAAGAGGATGGTTTTAAGTTGAGAATTACCTGTGCAACTATAAGAGTAAACATAGCGAGAAGAAATAATGAGCCTCTAGCAGCCCACATACTTTACCTAATAGGAAAAATAATTATAGATAGCCAAAAATTGGTTAATAGGGACATAAATGGTTGCATTACAAAAGCTGAAGAATATTTTTTGACTCCATTTCGATCACTCTAAAGCCTTTTTACTAAAACTGTGAAGAAGATACCAAGTGAAGTGAAAAGAAAAACCGGTTGGCAAATTGACCCATCATAACTGTATTGAGAAAAGGCATTAAAAATGGATTCCCATATGTTTAAAAGATAAAAAATGAAAACTATATGGCTTGGATCCAAGGCATATTATAGTGTAAGAATATACAGGCTATTCCAGTGGTGGCGAACCGTTTAGAGACCGAGTGCCCAAACTGCAACCCAAAACCCACTTATGCATCGTCGGGTGCCGGGTGGGTGTGGTCCATTGGGTGGGCGTGGCTGCAGTGGTAACGGCAGACTGGGTGGGACTAAAAAGTTCAATCAATCAATTCCAACTTTGCAAGATCTTTTTTTTCCTGCGAGAAGTTGAAATTGACTGATTGAACCTTTTTTTTTTTTGGTACATGGTGGCGGAGGCCTAAAGTGAAAAGGTTTTATAAAACACAGCTGAAGGCCTAGGACTGGGGCGACGGTGCGCATGCCCACAGAGAGGGCTCTGAGTGCCGCCTCTGGCACCCGTGCCATAGGTTCACCACCACTGGGCTATTCCAAATTGATTCCATGCACTGAATGGAATCTCTACATTGCCATGGCTGTTGACAAGAGATAAAATATAATCTGAGTTCAAAGAATTCCATAATGTATATACATACTTCAATGTGTCCTCCAATTATTTTCTATGGATGTAGCTGAGAACAATTTACATTCTTGCACACAGAGTGTCACAATAGCATAGGGGAGACAGGCTGCTGGTAAAGCAGTATTTCCACATTAAGCAGAACACAATACCCACACAATGTGAGTTTGCAGTCCAAGCAGAAAACTTCAAAGCAAATTATGCATCTTTGCAACTTGGGCCAGGCAGTATTAAAATGCAACTCCACTGAAGACTGGAGCATGAAAATCAAATACTGGCTTCTTCTCATAAAAAAAAAACAGAGAACAAGTCAGGGAGACCTTTTAATTGGGTATTCTTTGAGATGGACAAAAATGAATAATAAGTTTACAACACTGTTTTCTGAGTGAGACAAAACGAGTAGCATTGTAGGATGTATATATTCGTTCAATTGTACAGTCTAGGAATAGGCAAGTCATTCATTAATGGGTATATCTCCGTGCATGGTTACAGAACTCTTCCCCCTACCAGAAAATTTCATACACGACACCCAGAATTCCCAGCCAGTAATAGGCAGGCTAGGCATTCTGGAGAGGAGGCCCCAATGTATCCAGAGAGCACTAAGTTGAAGAAAGCTGAGTTGGAAGTTCTTATTTACAACTAGCATTGATTATACAAAACTTTCACAAGATTCCTCTAAGTAGCAGTTCCAGTGGTGGGATTCAGCCAGTTCGCACCACTTCGGCAGAACCGGTAGCTAATTTTTTGTTGCCCAGGCCCAAAATGGATTTCCGGAAGCAGCATCCACACAGAGAACCGGTTGTTCACATATTTGAATCCCACCACTGAGCAGTTCCCACTGAGCAACATCCAGCATTGCCTGTAATTAGACTACAATTGGTCTCCAACGCTTATAAAAGTACTTTGTAGATACTGAAGATGCTGCACAGGCAGGTTGCTGAGCACTATGTAGACTCAAATGCTGGGCCATAGGAAGCGCTCCAGAAGAGGGAAGGGCCTGGGGGTGGTAGCCTCACAACTATCCCAGCAGATTTCCTGAAAACAATAGAGCTTGGTCAATCAAGAGGTGCCACTCTATGGACACCCCCCTGCACCCCTGCCCCAGTTGTCGTCACTCTGGGAGAGGCATTGCTTTGGGATTCTGGACAAAGAGAGTGGGCAGGCAAAGTTTGGTCAGGGATGATGGCCTGGGAGACTAGGACTGCCCAAAAGAAGGTAAAACGAGGAGGATGCTGAGAAGAAAGGCAAAGTATAGCTGCCCCACCGTGAGGGTCTCTGATTGATAAGAAGTGACTATGAGCAAGATCTCTTTGGTGGGCCAAGGAATGGAGGATGATCTCTGCGAGGCATGGAGAGAGAAAAGAAAGGGAATGAACCCAAAAGAAAAGGAAGGAGAAGAGATGAGGGGGATCTGAGCAGCTCTTCAAAGCATGGATTTTAGATTTTATCTCCCTAGATATAACTGGAACAGTGTCTACAAGTAATCCTTGACCTACAACCTCAATTGTGCCCAGAATTTTGATCGTAAATCATTGCAGTTATCTGGCTTTAAAATCACTTTAAATATATTTTGCTTTTTGCTTTTTCTACTTTTATTGTTTCCTGCGCCTTTTTCTTTTTTCCTTAACTTTTCTTTGTATGTTCCCCTATTTCTTTTACGAATGTAAAAAATCTTTAAAGATATTTTACATATGTAAAAGAAATAGGGAAACATACAAAGAAAAGTTAGAGAAAAAAGAAAAAGGCACAGGAAATAATACAAATTAGATTAAAAATATGATTTATTATCTTAAACCATGATATATTCACAGCTCCGTGACTCAGATATTACACGAGACCTAAAACACAACCATTATAGTTGAGTAGAATGTGTGAATCCCATTTTAAGTATTCTCCTCATCCCAAAATGTCTGAAACAGTAACAATAACTCATGAATGAATAAAAAAGAGGCTGCCACATGTTCAGCTCCAGATTTACCACAGTCCAAACCTTGTGCCACTTAATGGTCCCAAATGCTGTACTTCTTTATAATGGCTATTAAAACGGGAAGCATATGTGTAACAAGTCAAATCAAGACTTGTTTTAAAAAAATCTTTCACTGTTTGAAAATCTCCCCCTCCAATGTTGTTATTTTGGGGGAAAAATACATAAGGGATATTTGCCACATGCTGATATAGAAGTGGTACAGTGATTGTTTTCAGCTCTGATCCCCTTTGAACTGTTTGTAGAATAAAAGCAACAGTGCAGAATAATGCACTTTGTTCTATTCTTTTCCCATTTTAGTTCCACACCTTAATCCCTGGTGTATCAACATCAAGGATTTTTCATGTCCCCGATTTATGTCAAACTTTTTTTTTAACTTTCACACAATATTTTCTCTAGCAGGAATTTGCTGTCTTTTAAACTAAGCCTTTCAAATGTATAATGTTACGTAATTTTCATGGTTCTTTCAGTCATTAATTACTAATACATGCTGTAATAAAATAGATGAGAGTTCCTGCTAATTAATTAAATGGAAAATATTGATGCATTTTGAATTAATCAGCATTAAACAAATTAAAAGTACAAGTAAGCATTTTATTCTTGTCTTCAACATAATGCAATTACCGAACAGAAATACTAAAATACTGAATGCATAATAAGTTAAGGTTTTAGAGGATATGTTTGCTATCATTTAAATCAAAATAATATTTCTATTTTTCAGAAAAAATTAATTTGCTATTCTGCCAGCCCAATAAAATAATACTGTCCTATTGTGGAAAGTCAGCCCCGCCCCCAGAAAAAGAAATATTTTTGGGAATATTAAAAGGCAGAATATTGTATTTCCTCAAAGGATCTTAAAGGCAGACCCCCCCCCCAAGACTCTTTGTCCCAAACAGAAACCAGGTCTGCAGAAATGCAGATGTGATGATCTTGTTAGAAAGATTGGAGCCAGGAAGCTTGGATTAGAAAGACAAAGATCCCTAGAATCAACAATCCCTCACACCAAAAAATCCAACACAGGACATAGTCATCAGCCACACCCCCAGGGAAGCAGGATATGATCTTTGGGACATAATAGGATTATTCCACCATCAGAATCCAGAAAGCCATACTCAGACTCAGGTCAAAGTTCATGCTACAGGAACAACTCCAAACAACAGCTCAAGAAGGTATAAAAACCCACCACTCCCTACTACATGTGGTCAGCTTTCCCAGAGCCCTGCTTTTGTCTGGCTCTGCTCTTCAATAAACTACAACTTTCTTTCTAAAGCAGTCTCCATTTTGTTTATTCCCAGCTTGGACTAGACCCTAATGAAGACTTTTCTTTCAACACTATTAACTGAAAAAGGGGTACCCTGTGGTAAGATGGGCAGCCAATAGATTTTATAAATAAATAATAAATCAATAAAGCTACTCTAAACCTCTTATAGTATTTTGTTTCCTTTCTCACTAGATGCCAAGCGACATATCTCCATTCTTACTTCTACTGAAGCAACGTTTCACAATGGCTACGTTCACACATCACAATAAGTCATAATGTAGTTTCTTTTTTCTGATCCCAGCAACTCTGGATCTATAATCTATGGCATATGACTTTGTGGGTCATGTGTGAATCCAATCAATGCTAGCTTATTAAAAATATGATTAGAATATGGGTTAATGTAATATAGCAAGATGCTAGATATTTATTTATATTATGACTTACTAGATCCAAGTTTCTTCCTTCATTCAAATTCCAAAATCAGGGGAAAGA